TGAGGGAGTAAGAGCACTGTGGCCGCCAGCCTATTAGGTTGGCCACTGGCCAGACCCGCCGGACCTTAATTGGCCTTCTTCAACACTAACAGCCACTTTACTCAAACGCAATATCTAATATGTTAAATGCTTCGTATTAACATGCCATCTCCGTAGTTCACAATGTCATTTTGAAAATTGCTTACCATAGTGATATTGCAGTGAAATATAAGTAAAATGCAAAGATTTTAATTGTTTGGATAGTTACGATACTTAAATAAATATGATGATGACAGGTAAAGTTAGGCTTTGTTTAGCATACTCCGTATTGTGAATCATATTAATAGCTTGTTAAGTTACATTTGTGAAGCAAAACAAAGCCTTGTAACATAATGCAGGAGATATGAGCCGCCATTGTTCACAATTCTATTGTCTTATTTTCGAGAATAACAATAATTTTGTAAAGAAGCGGTTTAGCGAATATTTTGTAGAATTTATTCAAATTAAAATAAATTAAGTCAAGTGAATCAAAAAACAGCAAAACATTTTGCGTCACAAAATGTAAAGCATTTAATTTATTCTCGTATGATTATAAGTTTATGTACATTAGTATTTTGAACTTCAACAACAGAGTACCTAGAAATGTTATTCTAACTAATCATTATTATCAAAGCAAATGAAACAAAACACAATAAATTAATTTTATAAGTCAGTATTTTCTTATTAATAAGTGGTAATAATTCATAGAAACGACGACATAAAAACATCACCTTTCTGTTCAGCAAAGCTCTTACAAGTTTACGATTAATTTAAAGATCGTTTCAGAACATTTGTTGCGTTTAATGAGTATTTTAACTGTGAACTTATTAAATTATCAGTATCAGAGTCATAGAGCAGCCGCGACCTGCGGCAGAACAACTAGCATTTTTGAAAAGCCACTCTGTCATAATGTTTATGTCACCCACAGTTTCAATAAAGAAACATTATCATTGTCGTTGGAAATGTTCGTTTGCCGTTAAAAATCTATATGTCAGTTAAAGCGGGGTCATTTAAGAGGAAGAGAGAGCGAGCGAACAGATATTAAGAAACGATTTGAAGCATTAGTAGTTCTATTTAATTTAGTTGTGCTTTTACTTAGGTTCCTCGTGGCGGGCGGCGAGAGGGGCAGAAGCGGGGAGAGAAATGGGGCCTAATGAGCCGAGTGGCAGGCGACGAGACCCTCGAGCCCTCCCCCTTCCTGCGCATCTAGCCTTTTACTCCTTACGTGATATCGACTAATGTGCTATTAAACTGGTCTTTTTACTCTGCAGCTGTACTCGATTACTAAGTAACTCATCCGTGACCAACTCCCAACTCCCAATCCTAGGAAAAGTAATTGGACACTTTACTTTTTCATGTTATTGTACTCTTTATATACATGGTATAAAAAATACAATTAGTTACTAAGTTTATCTTAACTGGAACTGAACTACAATAACTTTAGAGTATGTCCTGCCGCGGCCAGTCTCCGCGACCCGCGACCAACCTTTTGCGTGCTCGTGTAGATGGATTTTATTACTATAATAAAAACTGTTTACTTTAATGCATTGCTACATTACTAATATTTCTTTGTTGTATTATAAAAAAGTTACTTTACCTATTAGAAATAAATTATATGCAATAGCGTGTGCAGATCTCGTGATAAAAAATTCATACCTAAAAATTATGATATTTTCGCAGGTTAACAAGAGATGATCACGATTGGTGATTCTCTTAGCGATATTTCAAGGAAATTTTGTAAGGCGCACTGATGTCCGTCCTACATCGTTAATAAGTACCTACATTTTTATTTATATAGATGACAAATCTATGCACGACATCGGTTTTGCCGCCGCGTCGCTCCCGCCACGCTGGCGACAAGTAGGTCAGAGCTGCTACCTGGCGTCATCAACTCCTAGTCTAATTTACAATTCATTACAATTTTAATATTAATGTGACTGATCACATACAACCTACAACAAATGTCTTCCAGTCATTAACTTAGCTAACCTCATATAGCTTTCGCCCGCCACACCGTCCGTGTGTGATTTAAAAGAGCGAAATTAAGTAGGCAGTGTGTTTTTCCAGACTGTCCTCTACATCTATCCTTATGTTCTGCTAGACTAAAAACTCTCTCTCTCTCTCTCTTTAGGCTAAAAACTCTAACAAACATCCATCCATGTAAACTTCGCATTAATTTAGTAAGATTACATCATTTTCACTATCACAAAATTGATAATATTCATTTGGGTTATTTTAATTAGTAATCGCTTTATTACAACTGTATCAGTTTGTTAGGTCTGTATAAACCGTGAGAAGATGCAAAGTACTTTCGAGATATCGCTTGTTATCAGTCTCGTCCCGCTGTTATCGAGGTGCTATCATAGTACGTAGTCAACATGTGAGACATTACACATCTGAGGTGAGATCTCGCCGCGTTCATGTAGACTCACACTCGAAACCTGTTAAGAATGACAGTACCTGGCATACTCTCGACCATTGCAAGCAAAAGCCACATGTAACATACTGTAGATGCCAGAGTCATTTTCGACTATCAAAGGGTAATGTAACGTTTGTTCGGAATTGCGTCGGCCCTATAACTTGGGTTTTTCATATCAGTGACAAGACAAGATTTGGTATAAGATATTAGTAGACATTAGTAGTATTCGGGGTTACATATAAGAACTGTACGCTGTAAGTGGACATATTGTGAGTAGTGTTTGAGTCGTGTGGGTTATGAAGTATTTAGTATCTCTGGTGGCGCTGCTGGCGGCGGCGGCGGCGGTGGGGCAGGAGCCCGACACGCGGGGCCGCGGCCGCGTGCTGCTCGTGTTCCCCGTCCCCGGCAAGAGTCATAGTTTTTTGGGAAATTCTATCGCCGATATTCTAATAGACGACGGCTTTGAGGTACGTTCTTAATGTTAACACACACAAGATACCTAGGGACCGTTTTTTTTTATTTTTGCAAAACTATTAGTACTTCTTTCAGGTGACGTACGTGACGCCCTTCCCCGTGAAATCCAACCGCACCGAGCTCACCGTGGTAGACATCAGCTCCATATTGGTAGACGACCCAGGTTAGAGACTTCAATTTTTGTTTTTTTTTTTTAAATTACATGTCTTTATTCTCTCATATCCTTTCTAACACAAGTATTATTTTATATATTCAAAGAAGCCAACCACTTGAACATTGCTAATCTGCTGGGGAAACCGACACCCAGCCACTGGGTGCTGGGATTAGGGCACATGTTTGCGAAGCAGGCCCTCCGCCACGCGGCGCTGCAGGAGCTGCTCAACGACGACAAGGTCACCTTTGACCTCGTCATCGTCGACTGGTTCTACTCGGGACTACTCGCACCGTTAGTACTATTGCCTCTCAGCTCTTAATATGAACAACCAGTAGCATGAACTTAAAATGCTAGTTTACTTAATGGTTTTAACATCATTTATTTTTGTTCTGTCTTAATCGTCTTTAGTAAACGACCGTTGGTGTCTGCTCTATTGCATACTGTATACGTGTGCAGGTTGGCAGCGGTGTTCGACTGCCCCCTGGTGTGGTATTCGAGCAGCGACTTGTCTTGGCAGTCGCTGCGGTATGTACACGAGGCCAGCAGCGCGGCGCTCGCCGTAGACCCGCAGTCGCCGCGCGCGCCCGCCCCGCCCCTGGACACCGGCGACAAGCTGCGCCAGCTGATGCTACAGCTTTATCTTACAGGATGGACACAGTCAGTTCACATTTTTTTCTATCTTGTATTGGACTCTCGTTTATTAACTATCATGTTACAACCATGCCGCATCTTTTACCTCGATGCCTTTGGGAGCGAGCGATCTAATACATGTTTAAAACTCGAAGTGTTTACGTGTTCGTGTGTTTCAGCTACTACATGAGCCACGTGGACGTGACGGTGTACCGCGAGGTGTACACCGCGCCGCTGTTGCTGCGCGGTCGCCGCTCGCCGCCGTACGAGTCGCTGGTCTACAACGGTTCGCTGCTGTTAGTCAACTGCCATCCGCCGCTCGGGCACAACCTGCCGCTGCCTAGGAATGTGCAGTATGTAGGCGGACACCACCTCAGCACCACGCCCAAACTACTGCCGAGTGTAAGCAAACATAGGGAATTGCAATAATTTTATTAAAATACCAAAATAAAATAGCAAATAAGGTCGACTAATTATAACTTTACAGGACCTGCAACGACTCCTAGATGAGTCTACGCATGGGGTGGTGTACTTTAACCTGGGCTCTAACGTGAAGAGCAAAGACCTGCCGGTTGCGCTGCAGCGCGGCCTACTGGCGACGTTGGGTCGGCTGCAGCAGACCGTTTTGTGGAAGTTTGAGGAGCAGATGGAGCAGCTACCGGCCAACGTGCATCTGCTGGACTGGGCGCCGCAAGAGAGCATCCTAGGTTTGAAGATTCATTGACGTCATAAATGTCAAATCTGCTTAAATATATTTTCCTTACAATTATCCATCAAGATAAGATATTGTATAATAGATTAAAGAGAAATGAAACCGTGCTGGTTTTTATAAAATCGACATTGGTTGCACGTGGACAGCGCACCCCAACGTGTTGGTATTCATCTCGCACGCGGGGCTGCTGTCGGTGACGGAGGCAACGCAGTACGGCGTGCCGCTGCTCGGCCTGCCTATCTTCGGCGACCAGTTCGTCAACATAGACCAGGTCGTGCAGCGCGGCTGCGGTCTCAGGGTCGACTTCTCCGAGGACCTACCTTCCAAGCTGCAGGACGCATTACGTGAAATACTGGATAATCCCAAGTAAATTAGATAATGCCACGAACTGTCTCACCTGATGCACTCGGTGTTATCGTATTTCTATTTATACATTTGTGTAACTTTTAGGTACCGTGAGAACGCTAAGCTGGCGTCGCGGGTGTTTAGAGCGAGGCTGGCGAGCCCTCGCGCGTCGTTAGCGCACTGGGCGCGGCTGGTGGCGAGTACACGCGGCGCCGAGCACCTGCAGCCGCCCGCGCGCCTCATGTCCACCTTCTCCTGGCTGCACCTCGACCTCCTGCTCGTGCTGCTCGCTATCGCCTGGTTCTTATCCAAAGTCGTTAATGTTATTAGAGTTCACTTGAAAGACACTGAATCAACAGATGACTCGATAAAGAAAAATGAGTGATATTAATTTTTAACTGTTAGTGAGGCATTAGCAAATGTATGTCCATAAGTTATAATTAAAGTAAAAAAAAATATCTAGTAACATCTTGACTTCATTTTGTTTTTCGACATTGACTGATGTAAGGATTGACTCAGCATTTATTATGTAATAGTTAACAAGAACGTATCACTAACGTCTAACGTCTGAGTTGTCATCAATGGCAATAACTGCAAAGATAAGATATTGTAGATAGTGAAACCCCGACAAGCGGAAAAGTATATACGCTATCATCCTAATAAATACCGTTTAATTTTAACATGATATAATTGCATGACAATGCTCTGTCTATTGTTGATATCTAATTTATGAATGACATCAGTGCTGATGATAATACTAGTAATGTGATTAGCAGACATAAAAACGCACAGCCAAAAGTAGTGCGCGTAAACACTTGAAATTGTATAAAGGTTTCTTTAATACGTAGGCCATCGTATGTTAACCTATGTAGTATGAGACTATGAAACTAGTGCTAGCTCCGTAAGTTAAGGATTTTTTAATAGAACAATTAAATACATTGGATTATGTTTTTGACTTCATTATAATGGAATCAAATACCGGCTTATTCAATAATAGTTAAGATAATAAACAAGTGACATCGCAGAAGTAATTAAACAATATAATGCAGAGTAATGAAGTGGGCAGTCCCGAGGGAACGAGTCTATCAAGCGCGGCAAATGGCTTTGTGAGTGCATTAGGTATAGTTGGCGGTTGGCGCGGCGTGGGCAGACACACTGCGGTGAAATAGATCACGCAATCAACGTTCAATAATCAGATTTGAAGATTGATAGAAAAAGTTAGATTTAGCATGTATAGAAATAACCGTTTTTTTATTTAGGCACACAATTTGTGTTTTGAGTGGACAAGGTGAGTGGTTGGCTGATGGCTGGTGGCGGTAATGAGGTGTGCGGTCGCTCGTAAAACTGCCCTCTGCCTCAGTTCAACTATAAACTTTATAGCTGCGCGGGATTGAGCAATGCTTTATAACTCTACGAATATAAAAAAAAAACAAAGGGACGCATTACTATTTCGATAAACTAAAATTTATTTACGCTTACTTTTGATAACGTTTATCAAAAAACAACATTCAGCTACTATTATGATTTGGAAAGATTCATCCTCCGCGTATCGTTAAAAAACTATTACTAACTAAGCACTTTGTAATATTTAAAATAATGTAATTCTAAATATTTCAAATCTCTTTATGTTGATGATACCTCTAACAAAAAACACGAAGAACAAAAAAGTTAAAGACTCGTTACTCTTTATCCTTTCTAAAATGCGAACTTTTTAAAATATAAACATCTGGATGAGTGCCATCTATGATCCTATAAAAACAAGTTCACAATATTAATCATTTCATAAATGTCACTAGATGGCGCTTAAGTTAAACTATTAATTTTTAAATGCACGCCATCTCGTGTACCATGGCTACATCTTGAACACTTTTATTGTAATAGTTTTCTTGAGTTTAACGCTATGGATAAGAGATGGCGCTTATTGTATTTAAGTAATTTTTGTGCCCACGATAACATTTTACTTCCATTTGTTTTGTTTAAAATGAATAAGATTTTTAGTAGTTTTAAAAAGGACCAGTTCTTCTAACTTAAATGGGTGTTTAACATAAAAATTACCAAATAACAAGTTAGTTGTTTGTTTGAAGCGCAAAGTAATTTGTTTGTTTCAACTACCGATACCCGATGTAAACAGCTGCGGCTTGGGCTTGGCTTGGACCCTCACCGCACCACTCAGACTCGGTACTTACTAGTGTACAAAGTGCATTTAAAACTACTTTTACTTTAATATAAGTACCTATTGTTCTTGTTTTTTTTATTAATGCATTCGACTGCATTGTTTGCTAATTAATATTTATAATTATGAATTATGAACTGTGACTTGTTTACTATTATGAACTATTACATTTGTCAGTTTATACATGTTACTGTTCAATACAATGTACTTTATTTGATAAACTTTCTTCCAACTTGTTTTAATATAATATTAAAAACATTTTTTTTATTTATTACACTACTAAAGTAGCATTAATTTTATTTTAAGAATGTGTATATATTTAGGCAATAGGATTAGAATAACTGGTTGCAAATACCTATAAGTAATTTATAAAATATCGCGGACCACACGCACTTGACAACTTTACCGCAAAACTTCGCAATAACCGGTATAATGTAATATTTGGAAATAACTATAATTTACATTAATAATTTCTTAGTCGATGGAAAACCAGTTATTTAATTCGATCATAGTTTAATCACAGCAAAAATCTTGTATCACAAAGAATAAAGTACAGGAGACACATAGAAATTTAGTAACCAGAGATAACACTGTTGATAATTTAAATATCTCATTAATTAAAAATACAAGTAAGTCAGAATATATCTATTAGCTTACTATTTCACAACACAGGACGTACTGAAACTCTTATTCACAGATCTGTAGGGCCCTCTTCTGTCCAGCGACCTGAGCGCCCAACCGCGCCCTAACGCCGGCTCTGTCCGTCCACTGGCGCAGCGACGTAGGAGCAGCGAGCGACAGCGGCCACTTCCAGAACATAATTATCTTCAATGATACTTTACTGCGCTCTCAGACGTTAATTAACCTCTCTTGTGCTGAGGATTTGGTATTTTTTTGTATTTCATTTTGATACTAGCTTCTGCGGGTTATTTGGACGGAAAAATAACTTTCCATCAAGGTTTTCAATATTAAATCGTTTCAATCAAAATCCTAAATGAAAAAAAAAACACATTTGGTCTAAACCACTATTTAAAAAAAACAATAATAATATTTACTTGCACATTATTTACGATGACGTTATTACCTAAATATTTAATCAGAGCAATTCAAACGCACAAAGTGTAACATACATTTAGTTAAACTCTCCTGGCGAGTAGAGTTGCCTTGACCAACTTTTTCTGGAAAATCAACACAAGTTGCAGACAAACATGTAGCAGACAAGTGGCAAGTGGCAAAACAAACTCGCCTGTTGATGCGGGAGTAAGGGGAGGGGGACATAAATAGCACTGTTCGCACTAATGGATTTAGTTCAAGGTAATTAATAGGAAAACCAATGTTTTCGTTTGTAGCAATGCTTATAGAGTCATAGGCGTATTTCCCATGCTAAATAAGGTTATCTATAAAACATAAGTGTAAAGTACTTTAAAACGAACATATAAGCAATATTAAAAATCAAGTATACAAAAATTAGGAGATTTCCAACAGAAGAGCTCTCATGAATTTAAAAATGCAAATCTTTTTTCTCAGCCGCTCAGCTTCGGAAAGTTTCCTGCTGCGGCTGGCAGCGGGAGAGCGGGGAGTGACGAGGGTGTGAGGAGG